AAAAGGAAACTTAAGAGAAGAGAAGAAAACAGAGTTTGAGTTTGTTTTCAGCTCCAAGAGAAAAAAAATTCTGTAAATTTGTACTTTTTTTGGGTTTTGTGCACATAATATGTGTGAATTGGTCAAAACTATCATGTTTTTTTTTTTTTTGGTTTCTTTGGCTACGTTGACAATGAAAAATGTACAGGCTAATTTGGTTTTTCTAGGGCTTTTTTAAAATTCTTTCCATGTATTTTTGTTAATTGCTTAGGCTTTTTATGATCTATCAAGACATAAATCTGTCATTATGTCACAGTAAAGTTTGCATCTTATAAGACCTCAATTTCAGTAGGTCCGAACAATGTTCCATCAAAATAAATCTTACAAACAAAACAGAAAAGAACAAATTGTACTGCCAATTTTTTTAGTAATATTCTAGTATCTTTGTAAAGTAATCTAAATTGTAAATCATGTTCCAATTTTGTCTGTGTTCTTGCAAGAAGTTGAATAAATCTCTGTAGTCACTATTATTCTCCAACTGATCATACACTTTTGTAACGTAACCAAACTCTCGTCCATAAATATGACTCGCACATGCTGCTTTGTAACTCATCATCTTCATCGTCTCGAAATCTCCTGTCAAGATCAAAATTTACAAAGGATTAGAAAAAAAAAAAATGGATATTGAGAATATGAAAAGAGTTTTTCAAAAGAATTTTGTTTTTTCTGTTGTAGAAAAATGAGGTATATATACCGTTTTCGGTCTTTTTTATTTCTGTCTCGAGCATTTCCGGGGAGAAATGACGGTTTAGCCACCATTTAGCTCGAAGGGTCCATGATGAATTGGTGAACATTTTAGGTGTCGGGTTGTATCGAACAGAATATGTTTGTTGTTGATTCTCTTCTTCTCCATCTCCGTTGAGGCATACCGACATTCGGTCTTCATCAAGATTCTCAAAGAAGTAAATGAAGCAAGAGGCAAACTCTTCCCAGATTTCGGGGTCGGGAAAAGAAGCTTCTACATGCAATGCTATCATTTCGATTAGCGACTCTCTGCTATACCCATCTGCAAGTAAAGTAAAAACAAACGGTATTAGAGACTGACTAAGGCAGGAGTCAAAGTATTAAGACTAAAAAGGTATTTGATGGGTTGATCTTAAATACCTTCTTTTGACATTTCAATAAGCTTCTTTAGGGTAGTTACACAAGTAGGATCAATCATTAAGATATCTTCATAGGATTTTGCGAGCATGTCGCTGTTAGGATGAAACCTCTCCATCATAAGGGCCTTAATCCTACAATTGGGCAAAACAAACCAAAACCCATTTCAGAAACTCCTCTGTTTTCGTATTCTAACTTCATACATATAAACTAAGGCGGGCACGGGTAACTAAAATAAACTAGAGACTGAGAGAGATCTTTTTGTACCTGAAAGGTTTTATGTCATGTACTTTGTCGCACATCTCCTCGACCACTTTCATTGCTTCATCTACATTTCCTCCAATTAACAGAAGCTAGAAGGGAGTTTAAGAGAAAAATCTAATCAGCGTGAGACATTCAAGCTTTACGGGAGGAAACATTGTGAGCTACTAACGCAAAAATGGTTACATCAGTTCTTACCTGTATAAGTGGATGTAATGAAGCTAAAGATACATAACTAGGAGACTGGAGAGTAAGCCGCATATATCTCACTGCTTCTTTATAATAAGAATCATTGACCATCTTTACATAGCAATCAGGATCTTCTGGTGGTTTCAAAGGAAGCAACCATGGATCCATGTCGCCTAACATATAACAATTAGAAGTCAGAAAATCGATAGATGTGGTGTTAGCAAAATGTGAGTTAACGAAATTTCTCAAGTACTAACCAAGAATTTTAACAAGAGCGGGATCAAATGTACGAGCAACTCCATTTTCCAAAGACACTTCGTTTTCTTCAGAGCTGGCATAGAGTCGTGGTGGATTGTTATAATGCTGAGAACTCTCCAGCTTTACCTTCTTCATAACCATCCCCGACCCCGAGTCACTGATGGACATATGAGAAACTCTTTTACAATTCATGACAGAAGACTCTGACTCGTTTCTAACAGAACCCTCCGACTCCACAGAGTACACCGACTCGTCCCTGACTGAATACTCAACCAGATTATCAGATCTCGATTCCGGCATATTGGATATGCTTTCTCCGCAGTCCTCATCTTCAGGCTGTAACTCCTTCGAGAATTTAGAACACCACAACTTGTAGAACGTGATTCCTATATATAGATTGGACCGTGGAAGCATTCCAAAATCACGATTCTGCATCATGCTACCAAAAGAACAAGATAAACCATTAAAACTGGTGAATAAAAAGATCGACTACCTCGGGATAATTAGCTAAACATACAAAGTACCAATAAACGCAATAAAATCGAATAACTATCAGAATCATGCTATAGAAATCTTGAAATCCTCAAACAAACTAGTTCAAGAAGATACCAAATTATACCTTATAACAGCACTATAAGCATCACCATTCATCCCATGCTCGATAAAATGACAAATCTGTTCGAACCAAACCAAGAGCCTCTCCTGTCCAAAAATTAACCAAATAACTCAATGTTAGCTTCAAGCCTCAGAAGAAACATTCAATCTTAGCTCTACACAAACAATCTAAAGAATGAAAAATCTAATAAAAAGGAAACCTCTTTATGTTGTTTACCAATCTTCCCAATCCAAGTATCATATATCTTCCCAATCTCATCAGCTTTGTTTCTGTTAGGTTGCAAGTGGCTCACGATCTGTATTTGAGCCTGCA